AGTAGGCCACGGAAGGATTATTCATCTCAGGTCCCGGCAGTCACCACCCGCCTAGCAGCGGGAAAAATCACCAGAGTCTCTTTCTCACATCGTTTGAAATGAATATGCTCAGTTGGAATGTCAGGGGCCTTCTCTCCTCACGGACTAGGCTCAAACGACTTCTCCGGCGTGAGCGCATTCTCTTTGCTTCAATAATTGAGCCAATGCTCACTTCAGACAGGTTATCTTCTCTGACTCAGGAACTTGGCTTCTCTAACGGATATGCATCCTTGGAAACAAAAATTTGGCTTTTTTGGTCTACTGACTTAGAGCTTGACATTATGGCCGATACTGATCAGTTTGTCTGCAGCCGTGTCCTTTACAAACCTTGGCAGTTCTCTTTCATTTATGTGGCAGTATATGGGAAGCATTCTAGGGCGGAGAGGACAAGTCTTTGGCAGCAACTATCATCTTTGCTGGAGAGCTCTGAGCCTTTTATCCTAGGAGGTGATTTTAATGTGATCTCCAGTATATCTGAGTACAGGGGCGATGCACTGCCAGACACAAATAACATTGGGGATTTTTCCAGCTTCATCCATGATAATAATTTGCTTGATTTGCCTGTAACGGGGAGTCTGTACACCTGGCATGGGAGGCGAGCCACGGGTGCAGTCTGGAAAAGGCTCGACCGTTTTCTCTTGAACTCCCACTGTCGCGATTCTTTTACTGAGGTGCAAATTCAAGTGCTCACTCGAGCGACCTCGGACCATGCTCTGCTAGTGTTTACTGCTACAAATAACAGTATGTCTTGCCCGAAACAATTTAGATTTTAGCGCATGTGGCTATCACATCCAGATTTTAAGCGGGTTGTTCGCCAAAATTGGTCTTTGCCGGCTGATGGTGGCGGCATGAGGGCCCTTGCATACAAACTGAAGCGTCTAAAAATAGCTTTGAAAGTGTGGAATAAAGAAATCTTTGGAAATGTTTTTGACCGTGTGAAGGTTTTAGAGGCCGGGGTGGCAGCGGCTGAACACACTTACGCTAGCAATCCATCTGAGGAGTCGCGAGCTTCGCTCCATGCTCTCCAAGCTGATTTGCTTATGGCACTTAAACAGGAGGAGTGTTTTTGGAGGCAAACGGCAAGGATCAAGTGGTTGCGAGAGGGCGACGCTAACACTCGATACTTCCACGCAGTGGTTAAGGATAGACATCGCCGCCAAAGAATATCCAGTGTGAAAAATTCAGAAGGTCTTTTACTTACCACCCAGGAAGACATACAGCAGGAGGTAGTAAATTTCTATACGACCCTCTTTTCGGCCGAGGACTGTCCAGGGTCATCCGCCCTTGTGGACTGCCTCTCTTCGAGGTTGACTGATCGCGAAGCACAATCTCTCCTAGCGCCTCTCTCCCGCGAAGAGGTAAAAGAAGCGGTTTGGAAACTGGACCCGGACAGCGCAGCGGGACCGGATGGTTTTTCAGGTGCTTTTTACAGAGACTGTTGGGACCTGGTTCACGAAGATATTTTTTGGGCAGTGCAGGATTTTTTTGTTAGTGTCCTGATTCCCCGAGCAATGGCAAGTGCACAAATAGTCCTAATCCCGAAGAAGTCAAATCCAGACTCCTTTGCTGATTACAAGCCTATTTGCCTGTGCACTTTCATCAGTAAAGTTTTCACAAGGGTAATCTCTTCTAGGTTGGCTATCGTCCTTCCGAATTTGATTTCCAAGGAGCAAGAGGGTTTTGTGCAAGGCCGCAATATTCAGGATAACATCTTATTGGCCTTGGAATTAATGCAATATCTTGACAAGAAATGTCGGGGTTTAAATGTTGTTGTTAAGTTGGATATGATGAAGGCTTTCGACAGGGTATCCTGGCCTTTTTTGCAAGCTGTCTTATTTAAACTGGGCTTCCCGACAATGTTTGTGAATGTGGTGATGCGTAATCTGGAAGCAACGAGACTATCGGTTTTGGTTAATGGGGTGAGTTGTGGATTTTTTCAGCCGACTAGAGGTGTCAAGCAAGGCGACCCGCTATCTCCTCTCTTATTTATTCTGGCCTCGGAGGCTCTATCGCGCTCCCTAATTTTAAAGATGGGAGTAGGGTTGTTGTCTCCTTATGCCACGCACCCAGACTGTCCCGTAATCACCCACCTTGCTTTTGCCGACGACATAGTCATTTTTGTCAATGGCTCATCGGCCTCCCTAAAGGCCCTTGCCAATGTTCTTGATCTTTATCAACAAGGATCAGGACAAAAAATTAATTTCCATAAGAGCTTTTTTGTTACTTCCAGGAGATGCCCAACTGCTAGGGCCAGTAATATGTCGAGAATTCTGGGAATGCAACAATCCTCGTTGCCGTTCCGGTATCTTGGTGTCAGCCTTTTTAAAGGAAGGAATCGGCCTCTCTATTATCAGCATCTCCTTGAAAAGGTCGACACGCGTCTCCAGAGCTGGCAGAGAAAGCTGTTATCGCCGGGAGGCCGGCTAATTTTGATTCGTCATATTTTGTCTTCAATCCCGTTGTTTACTATTGCGTCGGTTCTCTTGCCTAGACAGACAAAACGCTCTCTTGAAACAAAATTTGCAAATTTCTTATGGGGAGTGGACAATGGTAAGCCAAAGCGGCACTGGGCTTCCTGGAGGAAGCTATGTTATCCCGAGGATGAGGGGGGGCCTAGGAATTCGTTCAATCGACACAATCCAGAAGGCTGCCTTCGCGAAGCTGTTGTTCAATTTGCTTCGAGGGGGGTCTTTGTGGTGTGATTTTTTGGAGTCCTTGTACCTTAATCGTCCTAGTTTGGCTCCCTCACTCACTTGGAAGAAGATGCAGCAGGCACATGACTTTGTGGATATTAACGTTGTTTACAAAGGTGATTCAGTGGTCTGGTCGCTGGCTCCTTATGGTGATTTTACTACTGCATCGGCATATGAAGCCCTCAGGCCGAAGGCAGGCAGAAGCTTATCGGCGCGCTGCATTTGGGGAGACGGGGTGCCCTAAAAAATCTCAATCTTCATGTGGCGGCTCCTACGCCAATTTTTGCCTTTCCCAGATGTCATTCAAAATTTTGGTGTTTGCCTTCCTTCCATCTGTCCTCTTTGTTCAAATGCCTCAGCGGATCTTAGTCACTGTTTGCTCGCCTGCCCAGTTGCCCAGCAGGTTTGGAGACACTTTCGCAATCTTTTTGGTTTGGGGAATCCTACTGCTGATTCAATAAGAGTTGAATGTCATTCTTGGTGGCTGTTCGCGGTTCCGGGATCGGCGACGGCTTGGTGCGCAAACTTAATACCGAGCCTTGCACTATGGACCTTATGGTGTTCTTACAACTAGGGCCTTCATGATGGCCGAGCTCCACCTGCAGTAGAAATCGTTAGGCGTGTTAAACGCGACTTGCTGGCTATCTCCACCACCCATAAGCTTAAGCGATCAAGTTCGAGCGACGATCCTCTTCTGGCGATAGGTCTGGTGGCGCGTTTTACGCCTCCGCCGAGACTTCTTTCGATATGGGTTAAATGGTTGACCCCGCCTGCCGGCCGATTAAAGCTTAACACTGATGCGGCTTTCACGACGGATGCTTCTGCCGGTGGGGCGTGCTTACGGGACTCTCGGGGCATTCTTCAAATTAGCTTATGCTTCCGTCTTGATGCTGCCTCGGCTTTGGAAGCTGAGACTGTCTCGCTGCGTTTAGCTTTGCAATGGTGTGAGGCGTTTGCTAAATACCCGTTCATGGTTGAAGTGGACTCGCTGGCCCTCGCCACTTTAGTGTTGGGGGAGCAAACAAGGATTCCATGGAGGATAAAAGACGAGATTCTTTCTATTCGATCTAGCCTTGCTACTTGGGGCTCCACGATAGGACATGTCTATCGGGAAGCAAACCAGGTGGCAGATGCTTTAGCGACAGCTGGTTTGAGTTTTCCATCTTCCAGAATTTTTTATGACGCTAGCTCTTTGCCCGAAAAGGCCAGGTTAGCAGTTTTGTATGATCAAAGGAGCTTTGCCTCTCATCGGGCTGTTCGCCGGCAATAAAGTCTGTTCTCGTTTTAAAAAAAAAAAAAAAAGATTACTCCCTCCTTTAAAATTTGAATGGTGTTCATATAACCGCGGCAATATAGATAGACTAGGAAATCAATATAAATAAAGAGAACTTTAAATGATAATTAATTGAGTATAAAAATTTAACCTACGGGGAAATTGTTATATATATCCCTCCATAATATGTCAATTATAAATGTCATCCTGAATTATTAGTGGTGTAAATATTGCCTCTCAATTTTTAAAACGGTACATATATTGCCCCTCCAGTACCGTTTGGGAGGGGCAATATAAGTACCGTTTTGAAAATTGAGGGGCAACATTTACGCTACGGAATGTCACTATATGCATTGTTTTGAAAATTGAATGGCAACATTTACACCACTAATAATTTAGAGATGACATTGATAATTAACATATTATGGAAATACATAAATTACAATTTTCCCTTTAACCTACACTTTTCTAATTGCATTGGAACTAATCTACTAACATTTATACTTATTATACATCACTTTTATATTTAACTAGCTAAAATATTAATTTCTTGATAAGATACACCCGCCTTTAATGGGTAAATGACTGAAATGTGCTATGACCACCCTCTATTTCCCAAATTGTGTGCTGACTTTTTTTTTTTTTTGACAAAAATGTGTAAAACTAAGTTGGGACTTGTGTTTTTGCATGTGTCCCGGCAAATTTTTTTTTTTTTTCGTATTTACGTAAAACGCAAGAAGGACTTGCGTTTTCTATATTGAATACGTAAAACACATTTGGAAAATGCATTTTAGGTTGAGATACGGTATAGGGAAAAACGCAACTGGAATTTGCGTTTTACGTATAATACTATAATGCGTATAATGCGTTTTGCGTTTGCTTTCCACTTCCTCCTCACGGAAACAGCTAATAATGTTTTTCCACGTACCATAATCTATAATTCTATATATCTTATGTAATACCACCTACCCACACTCACTCTCGGATAAACTAAC